ATTGTTGGTTTTTAATAGCGAGGGATTTCTTTTCCCTCTGATAAAAATGCAGCATCTCTGCTGCGTGGATGACAAACATCCCATCTCCATGCTTGGATAAACTCCATCAAAAGCACATTATCTCCCACTTCTGTGGCCAGCTGTCTAATTGTATTTGGTGTAGCCACTCACTGTTGGAACATGATACTAGTGAAGAGCAAGAATGATAAATTACTCACTGTAGGTGATAGAGATGATGATAATTTTTAATTTCCTTGTTCCTAAGTGAATTGGTAAGGTTGCCTTTATGAGTTCTCATAAGGAGTCAAGCAATCTCATTTGTTTTATCCTGTTAAAATGCTGCATGTACAGCCAGCCATTTTGTTCAGGAAAAAAAAAGTCTTAGTATTCAGATATATTTGAATTAAAATTTAGACTCTTCTTCCCAAGTTTTTTGTGATCTTCATATATTTGGTGCATTACATGAATAAATGGGTGGAAAAAAGGCTCAAAATAATTTGTCTAGGAGGGAAGAAGAATATGTTGAAGATAAGTGAGTTGTACGGGGAGGACACGCTTTGTTTAGAGCTTATTCATATGATTGCATGAACACCTGAGAAACCCTCAGTGCTGAATGAAGACCATAAGCTACTTTACATGAGCTCTTCATCAAAACCTGAGTTTGATAAAATCAGATAGAAGTTAGTTGCTGCTGTTGTAATTTCAGGAATATTTTATTCTTAGTTGAATGAACTTTTTGTTGACCTTTATACGATGATGCTTTGCAGTCCCAGTGTAGAATCATAGAATCATTTTACCTGGAAGATACCTTTAAAGATGATAAAGTCTGTTAACCCAGCACTGTCAAGCCCACCACTGAACCACGTCCCTCAGCTTCACATATGTGGCTTTTAAATCCCTCCAGGAATGGGGACTCCACTACATCTGTGGGCAACCTCTTCTAGTGTTTGACAACCCTTTTGGCAAAGAAATTTTTTCTAATGTTGAACCTAAACCTCTCCTGGCACAACTTGAGGTCGTTTCCTCTTGTCCCATTGCCTGTTCTGTGTGAGAAGAGACCAACCCCCGCTGCAGCACAGCCTCCGTTCAGGGTGTTGTCAAGTGTGAAAAGGTCTCCCCTGAGCCTCCTTTTCTCCAGCTGAAGAACCTCAGTTCCCTCAGCCATTATTTGTAAGACCATCTAGACCCTTCCCCAGCTCTGTTGCTGTTCTTGGACACACTCCATGAACATCTATTCCTAAATATTTCCTTAGTTCTTTCTTTAGGTTTCTTAGTTCCCTGGGTAAATATGGAGGCTTTGTGCTAGGACTAGAGTTTGTGTCTTCGTAGCTCTACTTTTCTCCTGGCAGTTTATTTGAAAACAAGAAGAATAATATTTCTGCAGTGTTTTGTAATAGTTAACATCCTTTGAGGGTACAGCATCTGTCAGGCTGGAGTTGTGGTTATTTATTACCAGTTTAGAAGTCATTATTTTTGTTTTCCTCTGTTATGGTATTCAGGAGATGGACATCTGAAAGATTCTTCCAGAGAAGGCTTAAGTTCTTGCTGATTAGTCATTGAAATTGTAAATGAGCTGTCAAAGGTCGAGCAAAAAGATGACAAAAACTGCAAAGGAAGAAATCACTGTTATGTTTAAACCAAGCAAACAAACAAAAAACCCCTAGGCAATAGTTGTAAAACATAATCTGGAATTTATGGGGGCATTATCTGTTTGTTCCTTTTCTTCAGTTTGAATTGTTGTGAAAAAAGCCAAGCTTAATAAAAATCTGGCCAGCCCTGTGTGCCATTGTAATATATGCTTTTATCTGTGATTGTTTCCTAATATGCCACTTTTAAGTGCTTGTTTTTTCCTTTATATTTTTCTTAGCTGCATGTGTTAAATTTTTACAAGGAGAAGGGAGGACTTAATCTTCATTCAAGCTGTAAACACTGGCAATATCTTTTTTAGCAGAAGTTTGTGATTCACTGTTATAGCTACTGAAAATTAGTAGCATTCAAAAGTGAAATGGAAAGAAAATGACTTGGACTTCACTTGTACAGAATAATTTCACTGAAATATACTTGAAAATAAAAGGCATGTATTGTTCATTTCAGCATAAAACCACCAAGTAATGAATAAAAAAAGTTAAGGTATAAGGGAAGATGTAAATTCTTGACAAGGACACCAACCAAAACAACAATTTTATAGCTTTTTTTGTATTATCAGGTATTTCAGTGTTGATTTGTGTAGGGTTTTAGATTTGTGCGATTTGATTTGTGCAATTTTGTCTTTAAATAAATTTTGTCTTTAAATATAGAGGATAAGTGGTTGTAGATAAAATTGTAGAAAGCATCATCTGGATGTACTTCACTTCTGACTTTTCTTCTTTTCCCAAGTCTGTTATGTGGGGTACCAGATACCAGCTGTAGTGGTGCAAGGCTTACACGAATATACCTTAAGGGGGCAGGCAGTTTGGAAGGGTTTGGGTTTTTTAACACTTGTGTTTGGGATTATTGAAGTAGGCTTCTGTGCAGTCCAACATTTTAGTTTGTCATAGCTCTTTCAAGGAAGGCTTCCTGCGCTTCATATGGATGCAGGAATTCCAGTGGTTTATGTAAAGCTGCTCACAAAACATTGAGAGGAGCAGTAACTACAACTGTGTTGCAGCTTGGAGTCCTCCAGTACTTTGCTAGTGACTTAGAATCAGAATTGTTTTAGTCAGAAGAGACTTTTAAGATAGCAGTACTGAGGTAATGACTAGACTCTAAGCCCACCACTTAAACCATGTTCCTCAACACCACATCTATATGGCTTATAAACTTCTTCAGAGGTGGAGACTCCACCACTGCCTTGGGCAGCCTGGGCCAGGGCTTGACAATCCTTTCAGTGAGGAATATTTTCCTAAAGCCCAACTTAAACCTTTGTTGGCACAACATGAGGCCATGTCCTGTCATGTGTTCCTTGGGAGAAGAGACCAACTCCCACCTCACTACAGCTTCCTTTCAGATATTTCTGCTTTTAGCTTCCTGGTACAAGAAGTTGCTCAATTGTCTTGTTTTCTCTGGAAGCCTTTTTTTTTTTTTTTCCCCCTCCCTTCAATTCTTCATGTATTTTTCTTGTTGCAACCTTCTTTTCCTTTTTCCAGAAATCATATCCCAGGTCTTATTTGTAAGCATATCAACAGTATTGACCTGATGATTGAAGAGTATTTTTATAACTGAGATGTCTGAAAACTGTCTGGAAAAGATTGTGCATCAGTGAAAGTAGTCTAATGGGTGAATAAAACTTTGTAAAAACCTTCTCAATCTTTACTCAAAAAAGCCTATTAGACACAAGGCTATAATTCACTTAGGAGTGAGATTCTCAGCACTGCGTGATAGGACTAGAGGGGTGGAAGAGTCACTGTTTCCAACATCTGGTGCTCATTTGTCACACAGGTCCCTCACTGTCTCCCTTGTGGGAAAATATTCTTTAAAAAGTGAACATCAGAATTTGGAACTTTGCAGGCTTGTCTGGAGTGCCCTTAGTTGAAAGCCAACAGAGGTGTATTAACATAAACTTACTTGCTTTGGGACGTTGAATTCACCAGCATGTTGGTGAAATCTGGTCTGGATTTAGACTACAGAGGAAGAATACCAGAGTGGTTTATCTACCCTTCAGATCTCATATTTCATAATGATAAAGCTCCTTGCCATTCAGTTTGTTACCTTAGTTTTTTTTAAACATGTTTGACTTTTCTTTCCTTCACAGTCTGCCTCTGAGTCTGTATGATGCTATGAAACTTGTCCTTTGTAACCATTCAGAACAACCAATTTCCTAGACCTAGAGTAGGAGAAAACCACTGGTGCTGTGAGAGGAAGGTCAGAATGAGTTGTTTGCACTGACTTTTTGTGCAGTGGGCTTGCCAGCATTGAATTGGTGCATACCTTGTTGGAAAGTACTCTAGCTGATGTGGAGAAGATCCTTCCCTGCTGTTGCAGGAACAGTGTCCCCAGCTGCCATGGTTGGAGTTACTTCAGAAGCTCTCTTCTGGGTCATTTCTTCAGGCTGACATGTATTAGAAAAGTGTAACTGCCTTGTGGCCACCATCTCATTTGCTTTAGCCTTTAGGAGCCAGCAGGAAGCAAATACAGGTGAGCATGGACAGCATTTCAGAGGTGAAACTGTGAAGTGGGTGCTCTTCTATTAGCACTTTACAGTTTGTTACTTGAATTAATAGAATTTTTAGGAGTCTCACAAGTCTTTTTTTTGACAAAATTGTGCTAGCACTAAAGGACTATGTAACTAACAGTACCAGTATATAGTTTTGTGTGCAAATATTTTGTTTTTCCTTTCCTCTCCAAGCTGGAATAAGAAGCCTTGCTGATGAATTATGCACTAAAGAGAGAGGCCTTTTTGGAGGTTAGGAGCAGGATGGCAGGAGGGACAGAAGTGCTCCAAGGAATCCTGCGGAGGCTAGAGATCATGCACTGCCAGAAAGGCCAACATGCAGCATTCAGGAATCTCTTTACTTATCTATGTGTGTAGAGAATGGAAAATATTCCCTGCCTGGCTGTGCTCTGCCTCTGCTCACAGGGAGCTGTAGTGGAAGACAGTGTTATGCTGTGCAGAGAGGGAACACATCATGCAGAAGCCCTTGTGCTGTGTCTACATAGTGAGGGTTGTGGGAGCCGTAGAGGACAAGGGCTGAATTTTATGCTTGTGGTTTGCACATCTGAAAGGCTGTTTTCTCATACACAGTTCTAGTTGCAATTAGGGTGTGGGGGTTATGCTGGAAACTCGGACTAAAATTTGACTTGAGAATATTCAGCATTTTATTCCAAGTGTAACAGGTCTGATGGCAGCTGATTTTTTTGACTTAGGATTTCTAGCATGTTTGAAAGCATCCATCTAAGCCTGTTCCTCTTAATAAAGGCTTGAAACAGAGTAGAAATCCCAGTAAATGCATATATTAGTGGTAGACTTTTTATCGAGTGTCACTGTTATTCTTTTATCATATTTTTGTTTTCCTTTTTTTTAGGCAATTGCTGGTTATTTTGATATATTTTTTGAGAAGAACTGTCACAACAAGGTGAGTATTTGGAGTTACACATTTTAAAAATGTCTTTGAGAGATGTTTTTGTATTTTATTCTGCTGCAAGGTGTTTGACAGCTGATCTATTTTGCTGTAGCAATTACTTGAAGTGCATGTGTGTTTGGTAATTGATTGATGTGGTATGATATCAAAAATGTTGTTCTTAATCAAACTCTTGAACTCTTCCATTGCAGGTCTTGTTTTCAACTGGTCCCCAGTGTACCAAAACTCACTGGAAACAGACAGTTTTTCTCCTGGAGAAACCAATTCCTGTAGAAGCAGGTATATTTCAATTCAGTTGTGGTGCAACAATGATTGTGTTATGCTGCTGTTACCATTAAATATAAATCTAGAACACTTCCAAAATGTCATGTTAAAAAGAACTAGTAAGTAAATCTGTCTGCTGCTGTTCAAGATCTTTTTTTGTCTCAGCAAAGCACTGGGAAATGTCTGTCTATACGAAATTGTTAAAGATGCATATAAATGTCTGCTCAGTGTAATGGTTTGAAAACAAACC